TCTCTCTCTCTCTCTCTCTCTCTCTCTCTCTCTCTCTCTCTCTCTGACAGAGTCTCCCTTTCTCAAAAAAAAATTTCATTCTGATCATTCCGGTTTAAAGCTATTAAATTTCACCTAAAATATGTTAGCTAGCTAAATCTCATAGATTTCTGATACGTAAGCTTTTTTCTGTCTTCTGTTTGTTTGGTTTTGTTTTAGCACAGGATCTTACTATATAGCCCAAAGTAGCCTTGAACTGGAACACCTTCCTTCTTGGCCTTCTCAGCGCTGGGATTACAGACATGCACCACCAAGCACACCTGTATCATTTATTTTTCTATAATCTATACTTTCTGTTTTTATTACTTCTTTGAGCCTTAATATGTAGAAATTTTATCTAAAATAATTTATTTTATGTGTATGAGGGTTTTGCTTGTACATATATAAATGTACAACATGGGTGCAATGCCCATGGAGGCCAGAGCTGTGGCTATATATCTTTTGTTTTTTAACATTAATTTCTAGTGTGGTTGCATTGTAATCGCAAAGAATTGTTTCAAACAGAAAATTAAATAAGGAATAAACCAGGGTGAAAAAATAAGCATAAGATAGAACATTAAAGAGTAAAGGAATACAATGAAAGGCATCAGTGCAAAGGAAGAGAGAGACTGGAAAGATGGCTCAATGGGTAAAAGCACTGACTGCTCTTACAGAGGACCTGGGTTTGGTTCCCAACACCCACATGGCTGCTAACAGTTGTCCATAATGCCAGTTCCAGGGCATCTGACACCCTGTTCTGGCCTCCAAGGGCATTGCACACATGTGGTGTGTTTATATACGCACAGGCAAAACCCTCATACACATAAAATAAAAATAAATAAATTAAAAAATTATTCTAAGAGGAAGCAAAAGGATCCAGTGGCTGGAAGGGGAGAGGACTGAGTCATGGGTTATTGGCCTGGCAGAAGGCGTGGATTGTTAACAGGGCACAAATGTGCAAGAGACCAGAAAGACCAGGAGAGGAAATGAGCAGCAAAGACTTCCGCGAAGGGCCAGCTACTCCTTGGTTTAAACTGTTCTGGTGGTTCAAGTGCTTGATTTAAGCCTGAATCATCTTTTTCCTGTGCCATTCCTCAATCCTTTGGTTTCTTGGGTAAATTTAATCATGTCTATATTCTTCTGTTAAATTGAAGGAATAGATTTCAGCAAAGGAAAAGTATCAGAAGCCCCAACTGAGCAATCTGCCCCACTCAATCGAGTCCCTACAATGGCCAGTTGTTGTGCTGTGTGATAAATAAAAAAAGTTGTAGGGCATGGTGGTACACACCTTTAATTCCAGCACTCCGAGGCAGAGGCAGGCAGATCTCTGTGAGTTTGAGGCCAGCCCAGTCTATGTAGTGAGTTCCAAGGCTGCCAGGACTACATAGTGAGACTCTGTCTCAAAACAGCAATCATCATCATCATCACCATCATCATCATCATAACTAAATACAAAAGAGGTGTCAGCTTCTGAACATCTTATTTACAGCCCACCTATGTTTGTCAGTCCATGCCCTGCTGAGTAGGAAACATCTGTTCCTGCTTAAGAAAGAGTGAATGACCAACAAGGTAGCAACTACTCCCTAGTCAGAAGACAATTCCATATGCTCACCACCATTATCTACCTATAACACCGTGATGGCCAGGGAGGAGAGATGATGGGCTCCCTGAGTCACGAGCCAGAAATTTTCTTCAATGGGGAAATTGATAAATGAAGTTGCCCAGAAATCTCAAGGCACTCACCAATCCCCAAGGGGTCCTTGGTATGTAACAGCCACCAGTCAAGACTTTGGAGCTAAGCTACCAGGGTTTGAGTCCTGCCTGTATTACTAGAGTGTGACCTTGGGCAAGTTGCTTAAACTCTGCATGCCTCGGTTTACCTGATCTGTAGATGAGGATGATATTAGTACCTGCCTCATTAATTTGTTTTGAGAATTAAGTGAGCTAATGCCTAAACAGTGCCTGGTGCATAAGCACATGAAGAAAACAAACTCTACTGCTGTTACAGGCATCCTTATCAATGCAGAGGGCACAGATGCAGGATGCTCAAGTTACGTTCAGCTAAGCATCACACAATCCTTTTGATTAAAAAGTAAAATGGTCATCCATAAACGTGCAAAGTAAATTGGAGAGAAACCAAGACTTCAGTAGAAACCAATGGATAGCAATCTCCTGCTTCAAGATTCTTCAGCCAGTGAGTGCATAAGCAAAAGCTAAGGGCTGTGAGGAGTTTGGGAGCCCTGGAGCAAATGGGAGTGCCTCACAGCAGACACTCAGAAAAACATGGACTACCCAGGAGAAAAATATTGATAGTAAAACATCATAAAATCTTCATCATAAAGATCTCATTATAACATGAATTCAGTCATTGATTTCTAAAGACATTCTTTTGTCTGTAATTTATAAATTCATAAGTGAGATATTTATAAAGTCATAAAGGAGGCATTGTTTTGGTCACTGGAGATACATGATGAATCAGGTAGATGAAGCCCGTGTCCCAGAAGAGTTGATGAGCTAATAGGAGAGACTATTACACAGTCACACCAATGTCACTGCAAGC